TCTTAATTAAAAAAGAAAAAGAAAAAAAACACTGGCCATTTTATTTTAAGTCAAAAAACCACTCAATAAATGACAACATGTCTTTTTTGGCAGTCAGCCGTGACAATTCAGCATGAGGACCAAGACTGCAGTTGGTTTTGCTGTTTGCATTTATGTTTTTAACATCAAAGTCTTGGCTGATTAAGGGAGAAGTTCTGTCTCATCTACCCCACTGTCTTCATTTGAAGCCTGTCCCAGCAGGCCTGAAACGTTCAGGAGGAATTTTCCTACTGACTTTGGTAAGTCTGGGATCAGCCTCTCATGTTCCAGGATCTCCTCTGCATGTGAAGTGTGTTTCTTGTTCAACAAGTGCGTGTTTTGCTAGTCTCAGATGAGTAAAACTATAGCAGTAACATGTTTTATTATCAGAAGAGAGCTTGGATAAGCATGGACACAGTCAGACAGTGATCAGTCTTTGTTAGCAAGATGTTCTTTCCATACAGTACTTCTCCATGTACGAGCTAACCCATGGCTCTCCATCAAGTGGATTCTGTGAGCGTTCAGCTCAACTGCATTTTTCACACCTCGCAGGGTGAGTGAAGAAAGTATTCATTTCAGATGATGCAAACAGAATTTAAATCCTGCTATAATCATTTAGGAAGGTGTTTCTTTACATGCAAAGAGAATGGTTTGCTGAAAAATATGAGAACAGTATGAGCAAACGCTGATGTCTTTCAGTATGCATCCTCCTGTTACCTTTGGCATGGCAATTATTCCAAGAGCTGGAATGGAGGCAGGGAGAGGAAGTGCCTTCCTTCACATGATCTCTATTCCCTGGCCACAGTGTTCTCTGATAATGAGGATTGTTTCAGAGATGGTATCAGGTCACCACTGCTGGTAGGACTTCTTCACAACGCCAAAACAAACAAGGCTGGAAAATTGCTAAAATCAACAGGATCTTGCCTTAGTATGGCAGGCAAATGCTTGTCAGAAGTCCAAGTCTGATAGCACTGGAAATGAAATGCTCCATTTACCCACGCAGCAAATGAAGCAGTGGAGGTCAGCTGTGTTTGGGAACAGATCCGATGTGGGCTCTAATCTGAAAAACAAACATTAAAGAAGCAGCTAGGGCTCTATTTTCACCTCTTTGCCACTGTTAAAGTCACTCCCGATCTGGTCATCCAACAATGAATCACTGCAAGGAAGGTTGGGGGTTTGTCCACTAAATACCAAACATCTTACTAGGAGAGATTTGTGCTGGTTGATGAGGCTTATTGACAGGAAAAGTGCCAGCAAAGCTTCAGCTGTGGACATGAGGAGAGCAGACTTCAGACTACTCAGGGAACTAGTAAATATAGTGCCTTGTGAAGAAGTTTTTTCATGTGCTGGGGTCCATCAGTGCTGGTCACTTTTTAAACATCACCTGCTAAGGGCACAGGAGCAGGCAATTCCTAAAAGTCAGAAGTAAAGGAGATGAGGCAGAAGACTGGCTTGGCTGACCAGGGATCTTCTTTTGGAAATAAGGCAAAGAAGGAAGGTGTATATCCAGTAGGATCAAGGTCAGGTGACATGGGAAGAACACAGAGATACTGCTTGTCATGGTAGGGAGAAAAATCGTGTGGCCAAAGCTCAACTGGAGTTGAAGTTGGCCAGAAATGTGGGGGGCAATAACAACATTTTTCAAATAAATTAATGGCAAGAGTCAGTGCAGAAATAAAATCAGCCTGTTAGAGGATGATGATCACCTCTTAAACAGGGACACGGACAAGGTAGATATGTTCAGTGTTTTCTTCACCTCTGTCTTCAACACTGACAACAGGCTAAGGAGGTCCCAGCGACCTGAATTGGAAGACCATGACTGTGAGAAAGATAAACTTCCAGATGACCATGAACTTGTATGGGATCTGCTGCTCCAGCTGGACCCCTACAAATATATGGGGCTGGATGGAATTCATCTGAGAATCCTCAAAAAGCTGTGATGTCATTGTAAAACTTCTTTCAATGATTTTTGAGTGTTCTTGGGAAACTGGAGAGGTCCCAGCAGACTGGACGCTGGTTAAAGTCCCAATTCTGAAGAAGGGCAACAAGGAGGACCCTGGAAACTCCAGGCCTGTCAGTCCCACTTCAGTGCTTATGGAGGAGATTATTCTGGGAGGTATTGAAAAACACCTGGAGGACAACATAGTCATCAGTCACAGTCAGCATGGCTTCATGAAGTGAAAATCCTGCTTGTCGAACTTGATTTCCTTTTATGACAAGGTAACCTACCTAGTCGAGATGTAATCTATTTGGACTTTAGCATTTTATGCTGTCTCTCATAGCATCCTTCTGGTCAAAATGTCCAGCACACAGCCGGATAAATACATCATGTGATGGGTGACCAACTGACTCACATGCTGGGCACAAAGAGTTATAGTGAATGGGGTAACATCAGACTGGTGACCTGTCACTAGTGAGGTTCCTCAGGCTCCATCTTGAGCCCAGTGCTCTTCAATATCTTCATTAATGACTTGGACACAGGACTTGAAGGGATACTAAGAAAGTTTGCAGCCAACATTAAACTGGGGGGGAGCTTGTCAAGTCCCTTGAGGGCAGAGAGGCCCTGCAGAGAGACCTCAGCAAATTAGAGCAATAGGCAGTCACAAACCATGGGAAGTTTAAGAGGGGCAAGTATTGGATTCTGCATCTGGCATGGGGCAATCCTGCTTGTGTGTGCAGACTGGGGAACGAGACGCTCGAGAGCAGCACTGTGGAAAGAGACCTGGGGGTCCTGGTCGATGGCAAGTTGAAACTGAGTCAGCAGTGCCAACCATGTCCTGGGGGGCATCAGGCAAAGCATCACCAGCCAGCTGAGGGAGGGGATTGTCCTGCTCTGCTCTGCTCTGCACTGGGGCAGCCTCACCTCAAGTCCTGTGTGCAGTTTGGGGCACAACAATACAAAAAGACATTATAATGGCCAGTCTTCGCGAGCGAAGATTTGGGAAAGGTCATTAGCCCTTCGAGCCTGCGCAGTGGATTTTTTTAGGTGAGACCCAGCGTGCGCTGAACTGAGCCCACCCTTTAATCCTGAGGTTCATCTGCCGGGGCCAAGCACGCTTGGACAGTGGCAGTGAGGGTCTCAGAACGTAGGTTTGTTTAGAGTGACCTTCTCTTAGATGGATTGCCACACAGGGCTGACGAGCTCCATCTGCCCGGGGGGCCGGGAATCGAACCCGGGTCGCAGCGGTGAGAGTCCTGCACCTTAACCACTAGACCACCAGAGGCCCCACAAAAAGACATTAAGCTCTTAGAGAATGTCCAAAGGAGGGCCATGAGGATGGTGAAGGGTCTGGAGGGGAAGCTGTAAGAGAAGCAGCTGAGATCACTTTGTTTGTTCAGCCTGGAGGAGATAGAGGAGAGACCTCATTGTGTCTTCAGCATCCTCATGAGGGGAAGAGGAGGGGCAGACACTGATCTCTTCTCTCTGGTGACCAGTGACAAGACTCAAGGAAATGGCGTGAAGCTGAGTTAGGGGAGGTTTAGGTTTGATATTAAGAGAAGGTTATTCACCCAAAGCGTGGTTAGGCACTGGAACAGGCTTCCCAGGGAAGTGGTCACAGCGGCAAGCCTGGTAGAGTTCAAGAAATGTTTGGACAGTGCTCTGGTGTGATGGACAAGGCCCATGGTGTGATTCTTGGGGCTGCCCTGTGCAAGGCCAGAAGTTGGACTTGATGATCCTGATTCCAACTCAGCATGTTCTATGATTCCATAAATTAAATTAAACTGTCTTCATTGTCAGAAAGAGTCCACTAGATTTGTCCCCTGGAAAAATGGGTATTCTCTTCAGCCATAAAGGTAAGTTTTGCAAAATTTTAGGTAAGTAGAGTGAAGTACTATAAAGTGAAGTTTTGTACATAATCAGATGAAAAAAAGATGCTGGTAAAATGTGTAATGTAATGGACAGTCTCTCTTATACGGATCTTAATCATGGGTCATCTACCACCACCACCTGTGTCTCCTAGAACCCTTCCATCAATGCTGCCTCCATACAATCCTAAATATCCACTGGTCAGATTATGTGACTAATACATCTATTCTTGAACAAGCAGCAGTCACAAGTATTGAGGCCATGTTGCTGAGAACACAGCTGTGCTGGGCAGGACAACTCTCAAGGATGAAGGACCACCACCTCCCTAAGATCTTGCTTTATGGTGAACTTGCCACCGCCTGCCGCAAGAGAGGAGCCCTGAAGAAAAGATACAAGGACTCCCTGAAACAACATCTCAGCCTTGGCCATATTGATCACCGTAACTGGTCTACTCTGGCTTCCATCTGTAACACTGCTGATGCTTTTGAGAAAGCACGCAGGATCACTCTCAAGGAGAAAAGACAACACAGAAAGAATTGTGCCTTGCAGAATACACCATCCAAGGAGTCTTTCTGCTGTGCCTTTTGCAACCAGACATGTCTATTCTGTGTTGGCCTTTTTAGCCACTAACACACTTGCAACAAACATGGGCAGAGCCCTTCCCAAATCTTCGTTTGCGAAGCCCAGCCATGATGATGATGGTAATGGACAGTTACTGTCAGTCACTGTCCAGAAATAAATAAAGTCATTATGGCTGAGCAGCAAAGGTCGTGTTCTCCCACTCCCTACTGTTACTCTCAAAAGGAGCTATCAATATCAAATCAGACTTTATTTAAAGGTTTCTGGGTTTTCCTTGCCAAGAAGTGAGAGATAAAGGATTCATATGCAGGTTCATGTAGCAGGGAGGGCAATTTGTCAGATGGCTACAACCCTGTCGTGTACTGTAGGATCTCAGAGCTAACAGCGGGAATGTCTCCTTTGTTTCCTCCCAAATCCATGGAAGGAGGAAATTTTGAACTATAGGATTTAAACTGTAACAACTTGCTTTGAAAGGAGTTGAACATTAGGAGCACTAAGACCTGCTGCCAGCAGCCCTGAGGACCTGTAAATACAAGGAGGTACAGAGAGGGCAAAATGAAACAGGAAAGCACTGTTGGAAAATCATTACATTTTATTAGCCTCAAAATGTGTCCGCATCAAATCATAGGTGGGTCCCCTGAAGCCATGGACAAGGATATGCTGGTAGTGCCAAGTCCTTGGGGCAGCTGGATGCAGCTGGATGATGCTGTTGCTTCATCCATGCTTCCTTACCAGTCCCACTGTTTTTCTGTCTGCTGGACAGGTCCCAGGGCTGCAAGAGTGGCCTTGCCCAGGACCCCACTCCTGATGTAGTGGGTTGTGTCCAGCAGAGTCGGAGCTTCAGCTGTGGGGCTTTGGGGGGCGTTTGCTGGGCTCTCTGGTCCTGCTGAGGAGGTTGGTCCTGCCAGTGCCTCGTGCATACTTCTTTTCTGGTCCTGCTGTTCTTCTGGCTGTTGGAGCAGTCCGTGCTGCTGTGGCTGTTGCTTTCACCATGTTATCCGTACCTTTTTCTGGGTTCTGCTGTACTTTCAGCCGCTGTTTGGAACTCTTTATAGAACAGTTTAGAGCAGCCTTGCCCACGACCTCACCCCTGATGTCCTGGGCTGTGTCCAGCAGAACTGGAGCATTGCCTGCAGGGCTGTGCAGGGTATGTGCCAGAACCTCTGCCTCTGCTGCTGTGGCTGTTGCTCTCATCACCTCTCCTGTGCTTTGTTTCAGGTCCTTCAGTTCTTCTGGCTGTTGGTTGGTTCCCTGGATCACAATTACACCCTTACCCAGGACCTTTGTCCTGTTGTACTCGTCTGTGTTCAGAAGAATGGAGGCATTGTCTGTGGGGCTGTGCAGGGCATGTGCTGGGCTCTCTGCTCCTGCCGCTGTGGCTGTTGCTCTCACCACCTCATCCACGCCTTGTTCCAGGTCCTGCTGTTCTTCCGGTTGCTGTTCAGGACTCTGGACTAACAGTGTAGCCTTGCCCTGGACTTCATTCCTGATGTCCTGGAATGTGTCCAGCAGAGTTGGAGCATCAGTTGTGGGGCAGTTCGGGGCATATGCTGGGCTTTCTGTCACTTCTGCTGTTGTGGCTGTTGCTGCCATTACCTCATCCATGCTACCTTCCCGGTTCCACTGTTCTTCCAGCTTCAGAACAGGTGCCTGGGTCATAATTACAGCCTTGCGGACGACCTCAGTCCTGATGTACTGAGCTGTGTCCAGCAGAACAGGGGCATCGTCTGTGGGGCTGTGCGGGGCTGTGTGGGGTATGTGCCTGGGTATCTTTGCCCCTGCTGCTGTGGCTGTTGCTCTTGTCACCTCATCTGTACTTTGTTCCAGGTCCCTCAGTTCTTCTGGCTGTTGGTTGGTTCCCTGGATCACAATTACACCCTTGCCCAGGACCTTTGTCCTGTTGTACTCGTCTGTGTCCAGCAGAACAGGGGCATCGTCTGTGGGGCTGTGTGGGGCATCTGGTGGGCTTTCTGTCCCTTCTGTTGTGGCTGTGGCTTTTGTCACCTCATCCATATTTTGATCCAGGTCCTGTTGCTCTTCTGTCTGCTCCTTGGGTCCCTGGGTCACAATTACAGCCTTGCGCACAACCCCACCCTTGATGTACTGGGCTGTGTCCAGCAGAGCATCGTCTGTGGGGCTGTCGGGGGCAGGTGTCTGGTCTTCTGCCCCTGCTGATGTGGCCAATGACACATCCATGCTGTTTTCCAGGTCCCGTTGCTCTTCTGTCTGCTCGCTGGGTTCCTGGATCACAGTTACAGCCTTGCGCACAACCCCACCCTTGATGTACTGGGCTGTGTCCAGTAAACCATTGTTTGTGGGGCTGTCAGGGGCAGGTGTCTGGTCTTCTGCCCCTGCTGGTGTGGCCAATGACACATCCATGCTGTCTTCCAGGTCCTGTTGCTCTTCTGTCTGCTCGCTGGGTTCCTGGATCACGGTTACAGCCTCGCGCACAACCCCACCCTTGATGTACTGGGCTGTGTCCAGTAAACCATTGTTTGTGGGGCTGTCAGGGGCAGGTGTCTGGTCTTCTGCCCCTGCTGGTGTGGCCAATGACACATCCATGCTGTCTTCCAGGTCCTGTTGCTCTTCTGTCTGCTCACTGGGTTCCTGGATCACAGTTACAGCCTTGTGTACAACCTCACCCATAATGTACTGGGCTGTGTCCAGCAGAGCTGGGGCATCATCTGTGGGGCTGTCAGGGGCAGGTGTCTGGTCTTCTGCCCCTGCTGGTATGGCCAATGACACATCCATGCTGTCTTCCAGATCCTGTTGCTCTTTATGCTCACTGGGTTCCTGGATCACAGTTACAGCCTTGTGTACAACCTCACCCGTGATGTACTGGGCTGTGTCCAGCAGAGCCGGTGTGCAGTCTCTTGCGTGCTGCTTCTCTGGCTCTTCTGGAGAGAGGCTGCTCCTGCTGCTTCTCCTGCTCTCTGTGGCAGTGGAGGCCCTGTGCAGAGCCCTTGGTGCCCTCTGGAAGGACGTTCGCCTCTCGTGAGCCAGGGCATCAATGACTGTGAGGGAAGGAGATCTGTAGGTATGTCCTGCAGGTGTTTCTGCTGCTGTTGCTTCACTCATGCTTAGTTTCAGGTCCAGTTGTCTGCTGATTCCATCTTCCCACCTCTCCTCCTGGGACAGCTTTTTATCAACACCCTCTTCCCGCTCTTCCTCCTCGGCCAAAGCCACTGGCTCACTGGTGGCAGTATGGGCTTCCAGACACTCCAACGCCTCTTGCTTGCTCATGGTGCCCTTTGTGAACTTCACATATACAACTTGTGGCTGCTGTCGTGTGGTCCATGGAAAGCTCATGGACCTGTCACGTCCTGTCTTAGGCTGTCTCATTCCATCCTTGGCACCCACCTGCCCAGGTCTGCCATAGAGCCCCCCTGACTGCCTCCGAGAGAAACACTTTCCCTCATTCTCTGGCTGCTGGAGCTCCCTGTCCTCCTGCTGCTGTGGCAGGCTGGTTCTCCGAAGTGGAGTGTGGGTCAGGCAGTTCCTGCACAGTTCCTCTGGAGGCTTCCTCTTGAAGGACACAATAATCTGCTTTACAACAGTCCCCTTCTTCTTGTGCCCCCCTGACATACTGCCGGGGTTGTATTCAATGCGCACCGACGGGCTTGCTGTGTCCTGCTGTGCTGTTTGCTCCCAGTGGCCTCTCCGAGCATCTGCATCGCTGCCCAGGGAAGCTGATGAAGCCCTGCCATGTGCCTGTTTCATGTGTGCTGTCAGCTGCTCCTTGTCTGTGTTTGCCTTTGGCATCCTCTGCCTCTGACCTGCCAGGGTTGCCCTGGCGAGCTGCTGAGTCCTGAGGGAGGTATTTCCTTAGGACTGGGTACCTCCAAGGCTCTCTGTTCCTTAAACATTCCCACAGTCAGGACAGGGGTCCTTGTCACAATGGCCTCTGAGCAGTGTGATGCACCTGCATCACAAAGGACCATGACATGTCACCCCCCTGTTATGCTGGCTGGGTCCTGTGGACTGCTGTTGCCTGCTCCATATCACAAGGGAAGGGAAAAGCGTGAAGCCAGTCAGTTGCTTTACCTACCTGAGAGCCTAGGCTCGGGGTTGTAGCCACCACAGACTCGGGGAAAGTTGAGCCCAAGATCTTTGCCATTTGCTACTGTTTGCAGGTCTGGGCAGTGCAGGACATCTGAGTTCGAGAAGTTAGTTCATAGACTGTAGTTTTTAGGGTCTTGTTGGCTTTTAGGGTCAGAGGTCTTTTCCAACCTAATTGATTCTGTGATTCTGTGGTTATTAACAAATGTCTTACAGCAGCCAGTGCAAATTATTATGTGAGAGCATACAAACCCACCAGCTAGACGACAACCAGACTACCAAGTGTAGTTACTGTCTCATACATGATAATATGATTGGATGACCCTAAAATGCTATGCAGTTGCTGAAATTTGCAAGCAAACAGTATCCGTTGTGGAAAAAATACACATATGTGCACAACTATATGGCTTTCTGAGTAATGCATTTTGTCCATGCTTTTTCTTTGTCTTGGGTTGAGAGCTACAAAGACTCTCAGATGCTGCCTTTTCATCCTGAGAAAGCTGATTCCACTACCTGATGCAACCTTTCTGAGTCATGTCTTATGTGTCAAAATGTTTTATGGCTTCATTTCACCCAAAGTACAAAGAACCAAAATATGTTATCAGTCCACCATTGCCAGCTCTGTCATAGCCTGGGTTTTTCATGGAGACTCCTCATGACATTTTGATAGTACAGGAGACAGAACTGGCAGCTGTGGTGTCATTCCTCTTGCATTCCCTTCACTCATTGTCTTGTAAATTCAAGACATTATCCTGTACTTTGCATCAAGCTGTTCTGATCGGGACAGGGTTAATTTTTGGACTAGCCAGGAGGCGAATGGTCAGGACCCAGAGGATATTTATAATACCTCACATCATTCCCTGGCTGGAGGAAAGGAGTCTCTTCCAAGAAGAAACTGTTCCATCTGGCCTGGGTTCTGAGCTGAAGGGAGCACTTGGGCATTTTCTATTGTCTGGGATTTCTGCAGTGAGTAGTGATGTTTTCATTTCTTGTACTCTCTGTCATTAGCATTGTTGCTGTTACTATTTTTTTTCTTATCTCGTTGTTTCCAGTAAATTGTTCTTATCTCAACCCATGATCTTCACCTTTTGTGCCTCCAATTCTACTCTTCAGCCCCCTATGGAAAGCAAGGAGATGGACAGGGGAAGTGAGCGAGTGGCAGCGTGGTTTGGAGTTTCAGTGGGGACACTAAACTGGGGAGTACCATTCCTAACCCATGACAACAGCTCTCATGACAGTAGTACACAAGATTTCCTTTTTATCTGATGGATTCATCTCATGACTCCATCAGTGCCACAGACCTCGCAAAAGAGACATATAAATAAATATTTAATTACGTATCATTATGCACGGAAAAAGGGGCTTGCATGAGGATTGGATGCAAACTAGGCCTTGAGTCTTGGGGCTTCCTCTCCAGATCTTAGTGAAAAAAAACTATTTTGCCTTTTGAACCATAGGCTGAAAGGAAGACTTTTTGTTGCAGAGAAGGTGAGGAGGTCAAGAAGAATGCCAGCTTTTTCTTGGGTCTGCTAACACTTCCAGTCACCTGAGAAACTGAGCACATACATTTGTGCTGGCTCATGTGGAAGTGTCGCAAAGGAAATGGCTCCCTCCATGTTCCAGCACATTTATCACCTCAGTTTCGTCTATTCATAATATATTTTTTTATCCGTATAGAAAGAGAGAGAAGGTAAAGGTAAGGTAGTGATGAATTTTGCATTATGGTGGATGAATTTATGGATGAAAGCTTTCTGTCAGTTCAAACACACTTCAAATGTGAATGTCAGGTTTCTTCACTTGCTTGAAATACTGTTCTGGAGATGGAAGTCAAGAAGAGTTTTGTGAAATTCTCTACTGTGTGTTTAACTGATAGAAAAAGATAACTTTGAAAAGTTTATACATGTTCTATTTTTTCTGTTGTGCTACATTTGACTACTATATCTTTACTAGAAATCAGAGTGTATGCTGTAAACAAAATCAGATAATATGAAGAGTAAATGTATTATTTGGTCAGAAATGAGACCGAACTGGGCTTTGACCAGCTTACCTTGCTTTGAGGATCTCTTTCTGCCTCCATGCATCTCAGTGGAAAGACTCCCACACATTTCAGTCATGTAGGACCAACCTCAGAGACAAGAGAGCAGCAAAAGTCTTTTACAAAACAATGGAAATACGATGAAGAGAAATATCAGGACACTCAGCTGGTCTCTAAGTTAATGAAACAAAAACAACAAATGAAAGCTTGATCTTTCAGGAAAAAAAGTCTGTTTGGAAAAGGATGCATTCAGCCAAAGATATCGCACTTAAGAAGAGAAAGCTGTGCACTTACGGAAGAAAAACTGTCTGCTGAGAGTTAGCAGGACACAAATATCCAGGAAGCTGAACTTTGGAAATGAGTGTGCAATTCTCTGAACACTTCCTAAGAGATACGGTGGAGTGGGCAGGGGCTTGAATGCACGCATCTTTTAGGATGGAGTCCTCTGTGACTTTAGGAACACGTCAGGTAGTGCCTGGGAAAAAAAACATGGGAAGCTTGAGGAATGCTGTGAAATTTGTTTCTTTCATATCCTGTAAGAGAAGGTTGTGTTTTTTGTTTGGTTTTTTTTTGACTCTCGTTGTTTCTAAGGTCTGTTAAGGCTTGTTTGTTGCCAAAGAGTTTCCTTTGTTCTGCATCTTAAACAACCCAAAACAAAGATTTCTTGTTCCTTTCATGAACCTATTCTTCTCTCAATGCAAAGTAGTTGTGGGAGTACAGTTTCTGCAGACTTCCTAAGTGGTTTAAAACAACCCCAAACATTATGATCCTGGTTATGCCTTGATTTCTATATTTTGGAAGGGGGGAAGGTGTTATTATTGCAGACAATTCAAGACCATAACAAAATGTGAGCTCCGGTTTAATTTGAGAACGGAAAGCGAATGGTATTGTAAAGCTTAATGTTTATAGGAAGGAATGCTCTTCCTTTTCAGTCTTTTTCTTATGCCTGAAATGTGTAAGAGGAAGTTCAAAGAGGATATACACACTAGTTCCTACTTGGTTATTTTCCATATGTGAGGTCAGTAGATTTCAGCGGGTTAGTCTGGGTTCCTGAACAGCTGAAAAGTTTTGAAATCACCTTCCTGAGGTTTTGAAGTATGGTATAATAGTTTGCAAAGAAAAAGATCAGTTTGAGCAGGCTTCCTGCATTGCCTGTTTACTAGGAAAGTGAGAGTAGAGTGGCCTGAAATAGGAGATGAGTGCAATCAAAATTATTTACAACAATGATTTAAAACTTGATGGGCTTTTTAAGAACCAGCATACTTTTCAGCAGCCTTGAGCCACTACCTTGTTCTACACTGCTGATCATAACTGAAACCTTTTGGGAGAAAATGATTTATTGTTTCAGGATGATTTTCGATATATCTGAAAAAAAGACCCACTTGGGTGGAACCTGACTTTGTAAAAAAAAATCAGATAGAAATATATATATATATATATATAAACCCCTAGACTGATACTGTTATTTCAAACTATTTTGTAGATCGACATGTAAGTTTTGCAATTCCACATAGTATTTTCTCTCAAAAGCAGCAGTAATTAATCTATTGCTATGAGATCACAAAGCAATTTCCTCACGAAGATTGGATCAGGTTAATAGAACTGGCAAAACTCACCATTTGCATTCAAATATGCGTTTCTCACCTTCAGTTCAGAAGCGAACTGAAGTTTAAGTAAAGGGTCCTGAAAGATGAGGGATTGGCAGTGAAACTAATTTCAACAGCAATTTCTTGCAGAAATACACCTGGTATACATGGATCCGATAGAGGTGATCTCAAGGGAAGCTTTGAGTTACTGCATGAAATAGTTGATGTCAAAATAATTAATTTGAAAATATCTGAAGACGCTGAGGCTGGCAAAAGTTCTGGAGATGTGTGCTGTAAGTCAGGCTCATCACACTATTTTTGAAGTGGCCTACAGAAGAAAAGATAGGGTTTGGAAGGTGTAATTTGGGTTCAAACTAGTTTTGAGTGCTGAGCAGTGTTTGGTTCCCCTCCAGGAAAAATAGCTGCTGAGTAGCCTCAGTTATGAGTAGCTGGTAAGGAACGTTTCATTTATTACCTTGCTTTCTTTTAAGGCCTGCAAATCGCAGTCTCTTTTGCAGTTTTCTCTTGTATGTTATTCTGTTTCTTCTGAGTAATTTTTTGAGATACCTGACTGCCATTGTACTGGTATACAGGGGTTTATGTTGAATGTTTGTAGGAAGAAATCTACTTTGAAATTAATATAGTGTGATTTTATAATTATTATTTACTAGTGTATAAACAAAGGAAATACGATTTTAAAATTCTCTTAACCTTTCATTTCAGCCTAGCAACACTCCTGAGAATATACCTAATTCAAGACCAGTGAGTTTACTCAAGATTGTTAAACCTGTAATTGAGCACCTTGCTGGATCAATGTTTAGCTTTGACAGCAGGAAATGTCTTTACCTTTGTGAAACCAACTTTCTTTTTGACCAGCTGTGGAAATTTTCCACCTGGATGAAGCCCCGCCTTATGTTCCCTACCATCACAGCACAAATCCTTGAAACCTACATATATGACTAAAACAGGTTTACCTTTTAAATGTCATTAATATACAGGTTTACATGTCCATGAGATGTTACAAAAAAGATACACTTGAGCATCATAAGGAATCTTACAAATAATTCACAAGTCATACTCAGATCAGAGATTCTATAATTTGTGACATATGTGCATGGGGACCTCAGTTCCATATGACATCTAGGCTGTTCTGTGGTAATAGATTATAATTTATTAATTGCACAATACAATGCAGAAGTGCCAC